AAATATGATAAATTAATGATAATGAATTTTAATCTAATGATAAATTATAAAATTTTAAAATAAAAGTATTTACTTAATAAAATATTATTTTACTAAATTATTTATATATTTCATAAAAATTAATTTTAATTTAAAATATTAATAAATTAAATATTTATTTTAATTAAATGTATAAATTAATGATGATGAGTTTTAATTTAATGATAATTTTTTTAAAAGATTATTTAATAAAAATAATTTTTTTAGAATATTAAATATTTTAAGAGTTAAAATAATTTATAACAATATAATTTTGTTGTTCAATATAATGAATTAATCTATTTCTAAAGACACAATCTAATTAATATTTAAATAAAATTTCAAGTCACACATCGATTAAAAATAAAAAAATTAAAGAATTTATAAGTTGGGACAATACGTACCTTACAGTTGAATTATATGATTGAGTGTTAGACCTATAATCTACAATCTATGCACTACAAGAAAAACAGTATTTTTCGACGACGGATAATTTCCGACGGAAATTTCCGATGGAATTTGATCCGTCAGAAATTTCCGACGGATTTATATCTGTCGAAAATTTTCGACGGAATTTTCGACGGATATAAGTCCGTCGGAAATTTTTGATGGAAAATTTCTGTCAAAAATTTCCGACAGAATTTTCTTCAGAAATTTTCGACGAATTATTCCGTCAAAAATTCCGTCGGAAACCATGCCCTATTATAATTAAAATTAAACCATATTAATTAAATGTAATATTAAATGCTAGAGGGAACCGGCCGGGCCAAGTTAATTAACTATATATATAGAGTACCATACAAAGAGGGAGAGTGACTCTTAAGTATTAATTAATTCTTAATTAAGTTATATTAAAGTTTGTATTATCTTTTGTCAAATTTTTCCCGTATTGCATTTATTTAGAGTTTTATATATTTTACAGTCAAAATGTGACGAAGTGTGTTAAAAATTTTATATTAAATAATGATATAACTAAAATAAAGTATATTAATTAATAATAAAAATTTGTACATTACAAATCACTTATATATATATATATGATTAAATTAAACTTAGATTTATATAGTTAAGAGAAAAGTAAAGATTGTGAAAGGCTTAAAAATGTGTTTAAAAGGATGGACTAATTTTTTAAAGCTAAAATTAATAAAATTTATTTGAACTGCTTGAATGTCTTCAAAAGACATTTGCTCTTCTTCTTCTTCATCGCTACTGCCAGAAGAATTTATCAGAAGATTATTAAGCTGATCCTGAATGGTAGGATCCAGATTGAGTTCTCTAACCTTAGAGGAGATTCTACAGAATTTGGCTAAGTGACCACGACGGCCACATCTGAAACAAGTCCTAGTTTCCCTAGAACTGTTAACAGGATTAGGGCCCGGAGGAGTGGTCTTCGTTGCAGGAGGCCTACTGGTTATTTGCCTAGGCTTGAATCTTGAGATCCTGGTTCTAGGCTTTTGATGTTTCTTCAGCTGTGGCTGAGAAGATTTCCTATGTTTAGTTTTAACAGGGTCC